TGCCCTTAGAAACTTCTGCTTTCGCCTAATTCTCGTCGTGTTCATCCTTGGAGACTCATACAAGACGCAATTAGGCGGTGACACCTCGGTCCTTCGCTACCGTTACAACATAGTCTAACCGGTCTTCCTTGGAAAGCCCTTTTCTTGCTGACTTCACAAATCCTACGCATTTTTCGCAATCAGACCGCCACTTTGTGCTCTCTTCACACTCCTAAGCATTGCTGACTTAACGCAGGATAGTGGTGCTTTGCCGACATAAACTGAGAATAAAACAGGCATGGGTAATAGGATTTATTGGATCTAATCAATTAAGTTACGGTTTTTCATCTGTAACAGTCTTTTTTGGAACTGACTGTTCCGTCAATTTTTGGCCATACATTGCTGCTATATGTTCAAATGAAGCGTGTAGGATGGCCATGGTTAAGCTGAGCTGCTTCGACAAGGAAAATGTCTGCAACTAGGGTCTCACTAGAGAAAATATTACTTGCCTTTTGAAGAGGAATATTTTTCGGATTTCATTTCCATTGTATTCATAGAAAAATTGGTTGCAGTGAATGACACGACTGACATGTTTCTTTAGGCGTGCTAAATACGACTTGTTCAGCAACTCCATACCTGCCAGGCTTCTCTTGGAGTGTATTGGGTCTCACGTAAGTCAGCTCGCTAAAAAGGCCATTTTAATTAAGACTCCTTATAGCCTTCCCTCCAGTTCTTAGTAATGCCAAGTTAACCCGTCAGGTGGTAACGTTTTACACTCAGACCTTTAACAATTTAGGTCGGATTCATCTAGCCCTTCCCATGGCCTACAAAATCCTATGTCATTACTTGAGTAAAAGACAGGCCAAGGTCAAACCAGATTTCAGAGCTGCGAATTAAAACGCCCCCGCTACGAACCCGCCAGAAAAAGAAGCAGCATTATCAACAGCCTCTATGTGACGCTCAGCTGCAAGGTAATGGATAAGCGCGTGTAGCCGATTAGGTTGAAGAAACACATGATGTGCAGATCCAGTCTCAAATCCGTCCCCATTCCCCATATAGTAATCGCCGTATTTACAGAATCTTCAAACGATAGCCTCGCAGTAAATCTCGGCAGAACATCCCATGAACATACGCAACATTGCAAAATCAGCACTTTCAGAGATATAATTTTCCTCCTTCGTCATACCTCGGTACATGAGGACGCGGCAGACTTAAACAGTGAAAAAGGCAAGGGGCAGGCGACCACTAGTAAACGTATATGCGCCCATTCTAGGCGTTAGTATGTAGTAATTTCGGCAGAACATTCCAAGACCATACAAAAATTCACAAAAGAAGCGCTTTCGGAGCTATAAGGTTTCTCATTCGTAATAACTCGGTGCACGAGGTAGTGGCAGACCTAAGCAACCCAAAACATTTATAAAGTTCCTTAAACGGAAATATACAGACGGAATCACCTGCCGGTGAGCCCAGTATATGTTGACGAATCCGTGGAAATCGCAACGGTCACTATACCCCTATCACTAGGAGGTGTTCAATACGCAAAAGGTGGTTAGAGGAAACAATCAATAAAAGGAAATACCTCCGTAGAAGCCATAGGTGATGGTTTTAGAGTGGCGTTGACTGTCAGGTATGAGATTCACCTGCTTTTGAGGCAACAGGTTGCTCTCTTTTCGTCAAAGAAACGGACTGCCCGTTTTCCTAAATTAGTTCGATGGTCGTACTGTGACTTTCAGTTTAC